GTAGTAATATAACTTCATCTGGAAGGATTTTATTATTTGAAGTTTTTATCATTTTCTTTTGTTTTTTTCAAAACTGAAATGGCGATACACAGGGGGGTAGAGTTTGAGACACGAACCCCTTTAGTCCCGGTTTGAGACACGAACCGGGACTAAAGGGCATCGCACCCTTTAGTCCCAGTTCGTGTATCAAACCAGGACTAAAGGTCTAATATTTAGTCCCGGTTTGAGACACGAACCGGGACTAAAGGGCATCGCACCCTTTAGTCCCAGTTCGTGTATCAAACCAGGACTAAAGGTCTAATATTTAGTCCCGGTTTAAGATACGAACCGGGACTAAGGGCATCGCACCCTTTAGTCCGGTTCGTGGCTCAAACCGGAACTAAAGGTCTCATTTGAACCGGGACGGATGCCTTTAGCAGCTCGAACCGGGACTAATGCTTACATTAGTCCCGGTTCATAATGCAACCGGGACTAATGTGTATATTGAGATGTGACCAAAGCCCTATTTTCTACTAGTGCAAAGAGAACCATGGATAAATTTGATCATAAAGTGGCAATTCATCACACTGCAACAAACACACCAATAGACGACAACCGATGGATCACAATCATGTAGGAAAACTCATGTGATCTTTGTATTGAGAAACATGGGAGGGAAAACAAAGGAATAGTCCAAAGGAAACTACTCACGACTGATCATGGTGACCTTAAAGTGGATCGAGATGGCCACTGTGAAGAATTCCCCTCCGATGGAGCTCTAGAGAAGGCCTTCGGATTGGATCATCACAGAACAAAGAGGTGTGGTGGTGGAAAAAATAGGGTTGAAAATTCTCAGAGATTTTCAGGTATATATGAAAGGTGTAGGCATCAAGAGGCAGTGGAGCGGAGCACGAGGGGGCATGTGGCGCTTGTCCGCGTGGAGGGGGAACTTGGGGGGCCATGGGCCATCCCCTGGCCTATGTACGTGGCCACCAGAAGATTCCTAGTGCAAAACTTCTTTAAAAAACAGATTTTTTTAGCCAGATAAAATGAATTTTCCTGAAAATCCCAAAACATGCAGAAAGGAAGAACTCACACTAGACACTTAATTAATATATCAGTCCAAGAAAATTGATGCCAAAATGATACAAACATGGCATGAAAATATAAAAAATTATAGATATGTTGGAGAAGTATGAGTTGCCAAGCGGGTCAATCGACCACAGGAGTTGGAGTCCTCCTCGAACTCCTGCTCCATTGCTTGCCTTGCAAGTAAGTAGGGGGTTGGCCGACTTTGGCCCATGGGCTGCCTTGACCCCAAGCAAGTCGGGGATGCCCATGTGAAACCTTCTAGAATATTCTAGAAACTTACAAAACCTTATAGACCTTTCTAGAAGCTTCCATCACCTTCTAGAGCATTCCGAAACCTTCCAGAATAATTTTTGATATCAAAGGGACACTCTACAACCTCCCAGAACACTTTCGAGATAAATTTGAAACACCGTGGGAACCTTTATCCACGATTCTCCATCATCCCATAGCAATGATAAATGTCGCTAGTCGTTAAGCGTGTGAACCTTAGGTTTGTGAATATGTGGACATGTCCATAACAACTTCCAGTCAATAATTATTAGTGGGATCTGGACACCCATAATAATTTTCACATAAAATCAAAGATCTTTATCGAGCGGACATTGTATTGTTTCATACAATTCCTTTGGCCTCTCATTATGTTACACAACCCAAGGCAAGACTTGGCGGTATCCTCATGATCAACTCCTTCATTACTATACCTAGTTATCATTGTTTTTTAATAATCCACAATTCCCATGACTAACTCCTTAGTCACAATATCTGAACAGGCGATGCAGGACACCATAATAGTGAGTGGGCCCAGAGTGTATCTCCCCACTGGCGGAGCGACAAATCTTGGTCTTGTCGTATCTAGCACCATGCCATACTTTCGGGTGCACCAAAAAATGACCTTTATAATTACCAGATCATAGTGTAACAGTTCGCAACCCCAAAGTAACCATCAGGTATCTAGGTTTACGATATTCTCATGGTCTAAGGACACGAGTAAATGTTAACACTTTATGAGAAAATACCGACAACATATTGTGGACCCGATTTCACATTATTTCATAAGTTGGGTTATTGTTACCCTAACAATGTATTCTCATTATTGACGGCATCTTTGTCGCATTAGGCATTAGCTATGCTCATGGTAAGGAAAAACAGAATCATCAACAATACATGAGCTGGTCGAGAAGCCTGACTAGGATATGTTTTTCTGTTTTTTTGTCTACACATGCAATTGAGTTTTACTCCAAATCTCACGTTCAAAACCAATGCAATTCTAGCATAGGAATATAACTTAATTATGAACATGAAAATAGAATAATAATAAAAAATTAGTATTGCCTTTAGGGCATATTTTGAACACTAACCGCCTTTAGGATTATATCTTCCCAATTCGAGCATAGTCAATGGCGTCGACCGAGCACCCATAGGCAAGCACTCGAAGAGCCGCGAGACACTTCATCAATGAATATGCAGTAATTTCTATCGATACACTCTTTAGTTTAAACGAATGATCATATGACCCTCAACAGCTTTTGCAATTGCGATTAAGCGACCTCGGTATCGTCTTCAAAAATAGTTCTACGGATATGTCGCATTGAGCGCAAAGTAATATCTCTTCTACTTAAATAAAAAGACCTAAGTTTCCGTCATCCGCTCATTCTTCGTTTACCATTATGTCGTGTTTATCCTTTATTCTATCAGTTACAATTTTTCACTCTTACTTTTGGTTTTTTACAAATACCAATAAATTCTCACCGAATGCTAAATGTTTATCAAAATACTTTGTTTTACATAATCATATTAATACGAGCAGGTAAGGCCCCTCGCAAAAAAAGAATACGAGCAGGTAAGTCATATGCTAACATACAACATTTATGTTCCCATTTGCAAAGTCGACTGAGACCTAGAGAAGTCTTAGTCGCTGAAGTCAGTCATTTAGATCGCATACGATTTTTCTCGTTGTCTCATTTTACGTTTGTCTGCGCTGGGTTTGGCCACTTAGATAAGGCCCGTCGTCAACTAGAGCAATACTACAAGCGGCCACTACAAAAACAAGGCTGGCTTGTTTTTCTCTACTAATAATGTTCGGACACCCCTCAAAAAACTAATAATGTTTGGACAACCTGCACTTGCCATTTTTTTCTGCTAGTTGTTCGTCTCTCATTTGGTCACGCATTTTTTTCATTTTACTTTCTTTTTTCTGTTTTGTATTGCTTCCTTTTATTTTCACCTCATTGATATTGTGTCCCCATGATGATAAAATGATATTCCTAATTTGTAAAAAAAAAATCTATTCTTCAAATTTCGCCTTCGTATGGCATGGTGGCAAAAATATAAAATAAAATATTTCCGACCCCAGATTATAATTGTGTTGAAGACATGCAGTTGGAGTCGGGGGTAACACTTGTAGTTGCGTATCTGGTGGTAGATATGCAAATTCCCCCTTCCCCTGACAAAACACAAAATCCTTCCCAAGTTGTTGAAGACATGTAGTTGCAGTCGGGGTTGACACTTGTAGTTGCGCACCTAGTGGCAGATATGTATATTCGCCCTTTCCTCGACAAAATGCATAATCTGTTTCAAGTTGCAATCGCGTTGAAGACATGCATTTGCAGTCGGCGTTGGCAGTTGCGGTTGTGCACCTAGTGCCATATATGGATATTCACCCGTTCCCTGACAAAACACAAAACCTCCATGAAGTCATGTTAAAGACATGCAGTTGCAGTCGGGGTTCACACTTGCAATTGCGCATCTAGTGGCAGATATGCATATTCGCTCTTCCCGCGACAAAACATAAAAGCTTTCCAAAATTGCAGTCTCGTTGAAGACATACAGTTGCAGTTAGGGGCGGCACTTGGAGTTGTTTGTCTAGACATGCAGTTGCAGTCGAGGGCAACAATTGCAGTTGGGTGACTAGTGGAGGACATGCAACTTCTCCCCTCCTCTTGACAAAAATATCACAGAGTTGCGGTCGCGTTGAAGACATGCAGTTACAATCGAGGCGACACTTGCAATTGTGTGCCCAGTAGCGGACATGAACTCCTCTTTGTCCGGACAAAAACATCACCTAGTTGTCATCATGCTGAAGACATACAGTTGTTGTCAGGGGCGACCCTTGCAATTGCATGCCTAATGGTAGACATGCAATTCTCCCTCCCCCGATAAAAACACCACAGAGGTGTAGTCACGGGTGACGCTTGCAGTTGCATGCCCTTATAGACATGCAACTGCATCCTCCCAACGAAACACCACGAAGCTACAATCGCATTGAATACATGTAGTTGCAGGTGGAGGCGACTAATGTAATAGCATGTGTTGTGGTAGACATCCAACTATCCCCTCCTTGACAAAACACTATTGAGTGTTAATAGTAGTTACAGACATGCAATTGCAGTACAGAGGCAATTGTGCAAATGGAGGGCACTATTTTCAAATTTAAAAAAATATATTATATAGTAAAAAATAAAAGGATAGAAAGAATCTTGTCGTTGGTAGGAAAAAAGTTTTAAAAAAGGAAATAAAAACAAAAAATACTGTAAATAAGAATGCAAAAAAAAAACAATGTCACAAGCAACACAGACAAAAAAAGTTAAAAAACACTAACTAGAAAAATAAAAAAGCAAGGATATAGATAAGTGAAAACAAATCAAACAAAAAAGCCCCACAAATACAAAGAAAAAGCTCACCTGGCAGCGGGCACCCAACCCATGATGCACGCGTCCCTATCCCACGCAAAGAAAAAGAAAGCACAGGTCGGCCGGCTGATTAAACATAAGATAAACAAATGTTGTAGCAATCATAAAGCATTGTCGATCTAATGGTGAGACAATCGACTGAGACTTTGTTAAAACTCAGTCGACTGAGTTTTAGCAAACCCCTTCTCTTATTTAATAATCAAGATTTCCATTTTCCTTGATTCGAACCCAGGTGATCCCATGATGAAGTTCACAAAGGGCGACGCGACATCCGGTTTGGATCCTTCTAGTCTGGCGGAGGCCCCGAAGCTGGTCGACTCGGTTGCCCGGGCCATGGAGGGACTTGCCGAGGAGATCCAATCGCTTGACCAGGGCCATTGGAAATGGGTGCCAAGGTGGATCAAGGTCGTCGCCACCGAGCTGGAGTTGCTCAAGACCAAAATGCTCCAGATCTGGTTCATCTCTGCCGTCGCCGATCCACAACATGGGGCACCGGCACAGCAGGCAAGAGACGCCACCTACTCCATCGAAGTGATTCAAGACAAGATTGAGTACCACAGGCTTCAATCTAACCTTGTTCCACGTAACAAGATTCTCAATCATCTGTTCAAGCTGCTTCTTGCTCTGAGGTGTCGATGGAACCGCTCCAATCCAAACAGGATCATCAGGGAGATCAAAGCTGTGAATGAGAAAGCTCGCAGGCTTGTCCCTCTCCTAGACAAGGGCCAAGGCCAGTTTTGCAGTCCACCGCCATCGTCGCTTGGTTCCGTCAGCGACACTCGTCAGACGGTGGTGTATGGGCGCGACAGGGAGAGGGATGAGGTCGTGCGGATGCTCATCCGGTCATGCGGCGAGGCCACACCGGAGATAATGGTCTCTCTTGTTGGTGATGGAGGAATTGGGAAGACAACACTCGCTCAGATGGTATTCAATGATGAAAGCGTCAGGAAGCATTTTGATGTCAGATGTTGGGTGTCAGTTTCCAGTGTCTCCAACCAAATGGAGCTCGCAACAGAGATTTTAAGATCGGCCCAACCATCTTGGGTTGGATCTGATGAGAATAAGATGGTGGATTTTCAAGTGCTTCAGTCCGAGCTTCGTCAATTTGTGGCATCCAAGATATGCCTGATTGTTCTAGATGATGTATGCAACAGTAAGGATGAAATCTTACTGGGCATCCTCACTCCTCTTCTTTCAGCAGATAGCAGAAGTAGAATTTTGGTGACTTCTCGCATGGTACCTCACATATTGGGTTCCTCGCAGGTGTACACTATAAATCCGTTGGATACCGATGACTGCTGGTCCCTGCTCAAGGAACATGCTTTTCCCATTGATGACGAGAATGTCCATCCAGATCTGCAGTTGATTGGAAAGGAAATTGCTACAAAAACCAATGGATCACCTTTGGCTGCCAAGCTGGTGGGAGAAACAAGGAGCAAAGCGCACTGGAGAAATATCCTTGAAACAGGGTTACAGGATGGCACTGTTTTCTCTGCCCTACTCTTGAGCTATAAGAACTTGCCTGGACACCTCAAGCGATGCTTCACATATTGCAGTTTGTTTCCAGAGGACTATAAGTTTGATCCAGGACATTTGTCCCGCCTTTGGATTGCGGAGGGTTTTGTACATCCACAGGGCAGGGCTGAGAAAAGGATGGAAGACATAGCTAGAGAATATTTTGATCAGCTCCTTTCACGCTCATTTTTTCAGGAAATCAACATTGGACACAAGACTTATTACTTGGTGCATGGCCTACTCCATGAACTTGCAAAGTCTGCTGTGGAGGAGGACTGCTTCCGTATTGATGATGGCATGAATTTTGACATCCCATCAACAGTGCGCCATTTGTCTGTCACCATGAACAGTTTACCTGGCCTCACAAACTTTTCTGGGCTAGAAAAGTTGCGCACCTTGTTAATCCAACCATCACTTTCATCCTCCTCCAGTTGCTTCCAAGAAGATTTTGCGGTGAATTTAAAAGGTATCCTGGCGAAGTCAAAACATTTGCATGTTCTTGATCTTAGTTGCTATAACTCTGAAGAGTTGCCCAATTGCATTAATGACTTATTGCACCTCCGTTACCTCTCCATCCATGGCTCCATCCAGAGGCTTCCTGAGTCAATTGGCAGGCTTTGGCACCTGCAAACATTGCGCTTCACCGGGGAATGTTCCCTCGAGAAGCTTCCTGCTAGCATTATTATGCTAGTCAATCTGCGGCACCTTATTGTTGAGACAAAGTATACTGCAGGATTGGTGGGCATTGGTCGGCTAGCAAATCTTCAGGGATCACTTGAGCTCCACATTGAGAAGAGGGAAGGGCATAAACTAGAAGAGTTGAGGAACATCAATGGTCTTCGTGGGCTACTAAAAATAAAAAATCTAGAAAATGTTTCAAGCTATGAAGAAGCATGCAAAGCTGAGTTGAATAAGAAAACACATCTTAATTCTCTAAATTTAGAATGGAGCTTTGCTAGTAGGAATAACCCTCCTCATGCTGACGTGGAGGTACTTGAAGGCTTAAAGCCGCACCAAGACATAAAGGTACTTCATATACGAAGGTATTGTGGCACCAAAGCTCCCAGTTGGCTATTGTCATTGCAGCAAGTGCACTCTTTGCACCTTATCAATTGTAGGAGTTTGGGAATCCTTCCTCCATTGGGAAATTTGGGATCACTCAGATATTTACACATGAAGGAGCTATGTGTAGTTGACCGAATTGGACATGAGTTTCATGGCAACGGTGATGTGGCATTTCCATCTCTAAGTGTCCTTGAATTTGATGACTTCCCAAAGTTGCGTGAGTGGGTTGGCACAGAGGACAAGATCTCATTTCCATGCCTTGAAAGATTGATTATAGTGGATTGTCCAGAACTGGTCAGAATTCCTCCCTTCTCCGCAACTACTCGTGAAGTTACCATTGAGCGTACATGCTTCATGCCATACATGAGGCTTGTGCCTTTTTCTTCAGATTCAGAGAAGCTCCAACTGGATGTTTGCACAACTTCTGGCCACTTCAACGGGTTACTCCATAAGCAACATCTAAAGGTTGTTGCAGCCTTAAACATAACTGGTGTTGAACAAGTCGTTGCTACCGAAGAAATAGGGTCCCTTGTTTCTCTACAGAGGCTTCAGCTTCGTCGATGCAATTTCACTGACTATAACTTTAGCAGGTTTCTCCAGGCTCTGCCTTGTCTTTCCTCGTTGGAGATAATTGACCTGCCTAACTTAACATCTCTTCCAGCATTGGAAATAGTTGGGGTTAGCACAATGCTCACGGATTTGTCTGTACGCAACTGCCAGTTCTTGCAGTCTCTATCCTCATTGCAGTTTTTTGATTCACTAAAATATTTGGTCATCGAGAGATGTCCTAAAGTGACTGCAACATCATTTCCATTGAACTTTAGGAGCCTTTCATCGCTCAAAGTGCTGAGAATATCACACTGCTCAGAGCCCCAATCTTTACCGATGTGTGGTCTGCCGTCCTCATTGGAAACACTCCATATTACTGGGTGCCACCCGGAGTTGTCCAAGCAATCAAGAAACATGAAAGGGCATTACGTTGAGAAGCTTACAATTGGCAATTGTACATAGTTTGTTGGTTCAATGACAGTATTTCCGGTTGTAACTTTTTTATGTGTTTCCATAAGTTCATCGGACGTTTAACTGTAGGGAGAGATGGCAACTCAAATGCTCTTCGCAATCCAGTGTGATTGAATTGTTCACCTTATGTTGCTCATTGTACATGCCCTCATGAAATCTCGGACATTGCAGAAAATTTGGTTCATTTGCAGCGGAGCAGTCCTTTTTTGGCTGAAATGAGGGTAAATCCCGGGTCATCTTATAGCAAAGTGGCAACAGTCATACAAAAATGAACAAAACATTACTGTTTGATTACATGCAGTATCTTGGCTCATTGCCTCAAAGATTTATCCCTGTTCGACGCCCGACAATCCTTCGCCATCCGGTGCACAGACCCCGTCCAAGCTAGGCCGGCCCATTAACCTGTTTCTTTCTTTCCAGCTAACCATCAAAAAAGGTGTGGGCGACGGTTTCGAACTCAAGACCGCTCAATTCACAGAGAACCACATCAACCACTAGTATATCTTCACGCTTGCTCTTACTAACTTCCTTTTTTTTTTATTCTTTCATCAGTTCGCTGTGAATCGAGCGGTCTCGTTTCTTTTTTCTTTTTCTTTTTTCTTTCTGTTTTTCCTTGTTCCTTTTTCTTTCTTTTCTTTCTTTTCTTGTTCCTTTTCCTTTTTATTTTGTTTTTTGTTTTCTTAAATGCTTGAACCTTTTTCAAATTCATGAACTTTTTCTACAAAAATAGATGAAGACTGTTCAGATTTATGAAGTTTTTTCTTCAAAATCGATGACATTTTTCCAAAAGCAATGAAGTTTTTTTCGAATTTGTGATTTTTTAAAGATGGATGAACATTTTCCAAAATTCTGGGAACATTATTGAATACACGAATTTTTCAACCGTTAACCACCGAACGAAATGCGCCGAGGGCCTGCATGACGAGTAGTTAATGAGCCGGCCCATTGCGGCAGCCTAGTGGGCGCCATAACTCCTGGCTGGTGCATAAAGCACCGGCTAGGAGCTCCCTCGACACCCATAGGCGACAAGCGGGAGCAACTAGTGAACGAGCGCTCCTTCGGGAGCCTCGCAACGATCAGCGCCACTTAGCGCGCTCTCAGCCATTCGCCACGTGTCGCGCTCTGGATGCTCCCTTCGGTTTTTGTTTTTTTATTTTTTCACACGCGTTTTCGGCTTTTTAAACGTTTTTTCCCGGTTATTTTATGTTTTGGTTTTTCTCCGGTCTTTCTTAGCTTTTCGATCAAAAAAAAATTGAAAAAGATATTTTTTTGCGCGAAAAAACGCGTTTTCTTTTTTTCCCTTTCGCAAAAGTCACGGTTTTTCTTCCGCGAGAGGCACGGCTGTGCTTTATCGAGAGTCACGGCCGTGCCTTCCGAAAACGAAAAAAGCGCGTTTTCTGTTTTTTTTTGCGAGAGTCACGGTTTTTCTTCCGTGAAAGGCACGGTTGTGCTTTTGCGAGAGTCACGGCCGTGCCTCTCGGAAAGGGAAAAAATACGCGTTTTCTATTTTTTTTCTTTCACGAGAGGCACGTTTGTGCTTTCGCGAGAGTCACGGTCGTGCCTCTCGAAAACGGAAAAAAACATGTTTTCTGTTTTTTTTTTCTTTCACGATAGTCACGGTTTTGCTTCCACGAGAGGCACGGTTGTGATTTCGCGAGAGGCACGGGCGTGCCTCTTTCAGAAAGAGAAAAAACCGTACTCCTGGTTCCATTTTTTCGCTCGTTTTTTTTTTGTCTGGTTTTTTTCGTGAAAAAAAAGTTCGTCAAAACCTATCAACCTGGGATCTAGTTTTGAAGATTTCGACGCGAGGAATCCAACGGTGAAAACGGTTCGAGATTTGAACGCACGGTTTAAGAGATAAAACATTTTGAATAAACTGATCTATGAAAAAAGGGAAAACTCTCAGGTTGCGACAAGTGGCGCGCTGCATGTGCACCACTTGTCGCGACCTGGGAAAGTAAAATGTTTTTGCAACGAGTACTCCTTAATTAGTGATTTCGGCAACAAGCAGACGCGCGGATGCAAAAGGCGAGCGTAAATGGGCCAGCCCAGTAAGCGGTGCTGCATGTTTTTTTATTGTTTTTTTCTGAAGGTGGCTTCCCTTTTTTCACCTTTAGTTTTCATTTCTTTTTTTGTACTATAAAAAATATTAATATATGGTGATTTTTTTATAAAATATACAATAAACAGTTTTTTAACATACGGTGAACATATTTTTTCAGACAGTGAACTTTTTTGTAATATACGTTGAGCATTTTTTCAATACACTTTGAACCTTTTAGTAATATACAAGGAACATTTTTGTAATATGCGGTGAACTTTTTTAATATAAGTTGAACCTTTTTAAAATAAACATTAAACTTTTTGTAATATACAGTGAACTTTTTATAATACGCGGCTACTTATTTCGTAATATAGGTGAAAAAATTCAAATACAAAATAATCTCTTTGTGATATACAGTAGACATTTTGCAATATGCAGTGAACTTTTTTGTAATGGATGGTGAACATTTTATTAATATATGACTAATGTTTTCGTAATATTTGATGAAAATTTATTAAATACACATTGAACTTTTTATAATATTAGAAACATGCCCGTACGTTGCAACGGGAAAAAAATTAACATGCACACCTATCTAGGTGTACAAAGCATGGTGTCTTATTCCTGGTCTAGAACAACAACTTCATTGATTTCGGACTGTATGACCATGACTTCTAAATGTATGTGGTTTGATGCTGGTGGTTTATTATGCAATGCATATTATGTCCAGGATATGTGCTTGCCGTGCGTGCTAACCTGTGTATATGGTACTCCGTATATCAGTTCTGTCTAATCCTAATTAAGCTATGAAACGTTTTGGTACTATGATAGTCCGAACCAGCCCATCAAAGACCAAAGTACAGAATCCAACTTCGATTCGACTAAAAACGTCCAACACCAAAAGAAAAAAAAGCCGACACATATTTTTTTTGCATGCATGCGCGGATTTCTTAATCAGTTTGTCTAATTCATATCTAGATGTTTTTAAGGATGTCACATCTAAGCTCCCACAAGTATATAATGCAGCAACAAAAAACAAAAAAAAAACTAAGACAAAAAAATAGACAACAAGCAGAGTGGACATCAACTTAGATGTGTCCTAGACAGACCCTTTCTTAATCATTCCTTAATCCCTTAGTCCGCTTAAGCGCATTAATTCCTTAATTTCTTCAGACGGATCCACTCCTTCCAATTCTCCAGGTGGCTTATTGATATTAACTGGTAGATGTATATAAATCGATAAAATTTTGTGTAAGGGGGCGATATGGGATAATGTAAAATGAAAGAACAATCATTTGTGACTACTGTCGGCTTGGTCAGGTAGTCACGTTCTCTAGAATTGAACTGAAGGTCGTGGGTTCGACTCCAAAAGCCCACTTTTTTTTTGCTTGGGCCACCACGTGATTGGGCTGGGACCCACGCTGCTGGCTGATCTCACGTACCAGAAAATTGAAAGAAGTATAGTTTTCACCCTCAAATCCATTTCAATGTCTCCATAACCCTCCAAAGTCAATTTTGATCTGATTTAAACCCTAAAAATGTCAATACCAGTTTAATCTAGCCTTGAGCGGTTTAGTGTCATATTAGGAGTGGTTTTGCATCTGATTTGGTGATCCGGCATTAATTTGTCGCTGACGTGGCGTAATGACGTGGCACCAGGTCGCTGAAATAAGTGGGGCTCTATTATTCTCGCGTCTGTTTCGGAGTGAAAACCGCAAGGGCCGCAGCGCCGCCATCCACGCTGCTACAACTACAACTGCCTCTGCCGTTGTCGTCTTAGCGTCGTCGCTGTTGCCGTCGTAGCCGTCGCCGCCATCGTCGGCCATCGTCTGTCAGGCTGGACGTCGCCTTGGCATGGGATAGAGGGAGCGCAAGGTCTCTCGTCTTCCGCCGCTAGGGCTACACCGGCGTCGACCGTCGCGAATCCGTCTCATCGGAATCAAGCGATGGCATCAGGTATGTTCGTTGGATCAGATAATGTACGTGTTATGGGAAAAGGATTGATCGCATAGTGTGTTCATGACAGCTCTGTTGCATTGATATTATAAGGTGTTAATTTGTGGATGATCGGCATGTTGTTTTCCGAGAAAAGTATATTAATTTGCACTGTGTTTCTAGTGATTGTCTTGAAGAAACAGAGCATAATGTTTTTGACTGAATTTGACTGCTGAAGACTGCTAACTCTGAATTTTGACTACAGTTTTAGTAGTGCAGTATAAGTACGTCTGTACAACTACTCTGAATTTAGACCGAATTCAGAATAGCTGTACTAGTTTTGGCTGCAGTTTTAGTGCTGCATTTGCATTTGGTCGCAGTTTTTGTAGTTTTGACTATATTTTCAGTAGTTTTAGTAGTTTTGCCTGCAACTTCAGTAGTGAATTTAGTAGTGCATTTGTTAGTGCAGTTTTGACTACAGAGTAGTGTGGTTTTAGTAATTTTACTAGTGCATTTGGATAGAATATGTACTGAATCATGACTGCATTTCTTAACTTTGTAAGTATAATTAACGAGAAATTTCATTCATTTTGCAGCTCGTTTGGATCCGCCCGATCCACTTGATTACTTCTTGGCCAGATATCATTATCTTGGCTCATTTGAGAGCAAGAATGGACATGTTCATTACTCAGGAGAGCTAAAGACAGAGATGCATATTCCAAGAGACATGCTTAGTTATGCAGAATAGTGTGCTTATGCTGAGGATTTGTATCATATTGAAAGAGGGCATTGCAAAGGAAACTACACCTACAAGCTACACTGGTTAGTTCCAGGGAAATGCCTGGCTGATGGACTTCTTTTTCTGCATGACAATGCTTCAGTTGCAAGCATGGACAGTGGCATTATGGATGGTGCTTTTGCTGACATTTATGTGGAAGAATTTGATAAGCATGTAGATGAGACTGAAGTGCACACTGAGGCATCAATTGAGGAGCAGATTGAGAAGAGGGAG